CGTGGAGACCCCGTGGAGGCCGCCTTCATGGTTATAAAAGCCAATTCAGAGAAGGTTTAGGGAAAAACATTTTAGAATAAGCTGAAATTGTTCAATACTCTTGCAATGCTGGTCTTTAAAGGCTCACAGACACATTCCCCTGGTCTTGCTGGGCATCTAGGTTGTTTCCACTGTGCAAGGGCAGCCCAGAAAGGAGGGGATGGCTCTGTCTGTAGGCGACTGGATTACCACCTCAGCGCTGCCTGAGAAAGACTGGAAGAGGTGGCATCAGGGGGTCTTGGCCTCCAAGTACCACGTCATCCCTTAGGCACAGACGAGGAAGGGTGTTGTAGTCAGAGGGAACAGCACATACGAAGGTCCAGAGCCATGATGTGTTTGGAGATTGGCAGGTGTCCCTTGTACCGAAGAGTGGCTGCAGGCGCTGTGAAAGGGGAGGCCTGAGCCACGGGGCAGCCATGCTGGGGCCAGCTGAGCAGTAGCTGGGGCGGCACCTGGGCTGGAGCATTTGGAAGCAAAGGAGAAACAGACCCAGATTTGCATCATGGAAAGTCTGAACTCCGGCAAGTGGAGGGGTGGGAGATGGGCTGTGGCAGCAATTCTGTGGGAGGGGTGGACAGAGAGGAGGGCCCCAGCCGGGGGTTTTCCAGGGATCAGGGAGAGGAACAGGTTTCAGGGATGATACCCAGGCAGGGAGGCCTCGAGGACATATCCTGCAGGAGCTGGGTGTCTCCTGGGCCCGCTGGCTCCATGGGCAGTGGAGAAGAAAGGGTGTTGGCTGGGGGAGAAGGGTTCAGGTTCCTCTGTGTCCTGCCCTGGAGTCCAGTGTGGAGGCCTGCTTTGGCCTCCTGTCTCCCGCCCACCCCCCTCCCTCCCTCAGGCCCCAGTGCAGCCAGACGCTGTCCACCAGCGGTGCCGAGAGCCCTTTATCAGATAATAAATAAGTCGGCTGGAGCCGTCCATGTCAACATCTTGGCGGGCCTAGCAGGGCATTGCAGGGGGGCTGCCCATGAGGGCCTCCGCATGGCCGTCGACGGCCAGCCACTCCCACCCTGGCTCCGATGGGCCTGCCAGGCTCAGCCAGCCCCCTCTTCCTCCAGGCCGGTTCAGCTCCTGCTGGGACTCATGTGGGTGACAGACAGGGCACCCCAGCCTCTCAACCTCAGGGAGCCCTATCCCTCTGGCCTCTCATCTGCCAAAAAGGGTCTACATGGGGGCAGGGACCTGGGGGAGCCTCGTCAGCCTCTTTCTGAGCCCCCGTCCACCAGATAGCCCCTGAGTCACCACAAGCTGTCCCTGGGCTTGTGGCAAAGGGAAGAGCAGTGAGGAGTGTGGGGACCTTATCCCTTCCCTGAGACTGTGGTCTCCTGTGTTTGGTGACAGAATGATGGTGACAGGGGCAACTGTTCTTCTTCTGATCTGGTCACATAAAAGCTGGTGCTGCGTGGCTTCCCAGAGGACCGCTCTCCTTGATAAGCACTGTGCGTGGCTCCGATGGGAGCCTGGGAGGATATGAGCCCGTTCTGCAACAAGTGGTCTTTGGCCAAAGCAAAGGGGAAACCAGCCCTTAGCCCCAGCCCCACAGAGGCTCTGGGGTCCGGCAAAGCTGGGACAGCAGGGTGCAGAGTGGTGCTCACCTGAGGGCCCAGGGGACAAATGAGCACCATGTGTAAGGTTAAACATGCTGAGAACAACTGCAGCAAGGTGGGCAGGAGGCAGGGTGAGCGGGAGCCTCTGGCGTCACGGACCCTGACCCCATTGTCAAGGACCTGTGTGTGCATGCATGTGTGTATGCACATGTGCATGTGTAAGTGCGCGTGTGTGTGTGCATGTGGTGGGGGGCTGCTTCTGTTTCAAGGAGCGAGCCTGCAGCATTGTACCTGAGACACTTTCGGCAGCTGCTCTGTGGCTGGAGTGAAGCAATGAATTAAGGGCTGGAAGGGCAAGGGAAGGGTGCCCTATAAATGATTCTGATTTAAGAAACCCCAATTGAGGGCCCCTGGGTGTCTCCCCCTTTTCTATGCCCTGTGTGCTTCATTTTTCGGCTACACCAGCAGGGTCTTCTTCCCTCTCCAGGTGTCGGGCAGGGGCTCGGTGGACACTCTGGGATGGGCTGGGAGATTTGCAGGGCGGAGCACCCCTCCTCCGGCTCCCTGAGAGGCGGCTGCTTTGGCTCAAGAGAGGCTGGGAGACAAAGAGGTGAAGTCAGGCAGGCCCATGAGGTGGCCTTTTTTTCCACCCTGTTGCTATGATAAGCAGCCCCAGCTACACGCTTGCTATCCTCCCAGGGATTGGTGGTTTATGACCAGTTGGCAGAGCCTTGGGGCCATAGCCGGAGGAAGAGCTGCAGGAAGGGGGTGCCCTGTGGCTATATTAAGGTCCTGACAGCTTCCGGCCCTGAGAGGCAGTCGGTGGTGGTGGTGTGTGTGGGGGCTTAAATTTAGCAGTAACGCCCATGCCCAGAGGTGGGGGCTCAGTCTCCCTCATCCTGGGCACGCCCTTAAAAATTACAAAAAGAGACCGGAGAAACCACTTCTTCCTTTCCTCTTTGTCAAATTCACCCACTCCATCTGTGGGGACCCTGCCCCATTGGCCCACCCTGCTGTGGTCACCTTCAGGAAGCCTCCTTGGGTTGGTCAGTGCCAAGTGCTGCCTCCAATACGGGGGACTCCCAGGGCCGGGGCCCACTGCAGTGTGTGTGGGTTACAGATGGAGAAACTGAGATTCCAACAGAAGCCACTGGGCTCCCTGGTGGCAGCACTGTGCTGTAAGGGTGCTATGCTGTCCCATCCGTGTCTGGGCCCTCATGTGGGCCTTGTTGTGGCCTGGTGCCTCATATCACCTGGCGACTCAGTTTCTCTCATCAGATGGTCCACCCGCTTGGAGAGGGAAGGGCAAACGATGGGGGTGGATAGGGCAGAGCTTCCTCCTGAGGTGGGTGAGGGGAGGTTGGATGAGGAAATGTGACCCCTAACCTCCTTGTGCCTCAGTTTCCTCATTGTGAACAGTCTCCCAGGAAGCCTGTGGGCATGGATACGAGATGGCCATGAGCTCTCTCCACCAGCCGCCTCGCACCTGGTCACCAGGCAGGTGCACCACCCCGCAGGCACTCCCATAGCCCCGCAGCCCTGCTCCCATCTCTCCTGTCCCGTCTGCCTGTGGAAAGTGCTGGTTGTAAGCCACTGGACAGACCTGCCCCTGAGGAATTTCCTCTGCAGCCTGGCACTGGCTGTGTGGGTCCTTCCCTATGCGGCCACTGCAGGATCCCCTGGGAGCTGGTGAGCATGCAGATTCCCAGGTCCCAGGCATCATTGATCTTGCCCCATTCACTGAAGTGCTGCATTTAACTGGCTCCTTGGGGGAGGGTCCTGTGGCAGCTCTGGGAGGCTGGGGATCCCCACTTCATGAAGCTGGAGCGAGGCGGTGGGCAACCTCGGAGGCGTTCTGCTTACGAGAGTCATCCATCCTACAGAAGCCCTTGAGGGCCCCGGCGGGACTCAGAGTGGCCAGTGAGGTACAGCAGACTGGCCCCTGGGACGAACTGCTGAAAGGGATGGTCTGAATGTTGGATTTGTTGGAACTAGTCCAGGAAGTCCCACAGGTGATGGGGACAGAAAGGCAAAATCAAGGTCTTTATTTTACATATCTTCTTATAGCCTCATGTGTCTGTTTTTTTGTAAGACATCATGTGAAAGCTGGGCTGGTTGAACCTCGAGGGACCGCTGCAAGTGAGTTGACATTCTGGACACTGACTCCAGGGAGGACAGACAGGGTGGCCCCGAGGCTGCTCGAGCTCCTAATCAGCTCACCATATTTAAAAGATCTTTGAGCCCGGCCGGGCGTGGCTCAGCAGTTGAGCGTCGACCTAGGATCCAGGCGATCGGGGTTCGATTCCTGGTCAGGGCACATGCCCAGGTTGCGGGCTCGATCAGTGACTCTCATCATTGATGTTTCTCTCTCTCCCTCTCCCTCTCTTTTCCTCTCTCTGAAATCAATAAAGATATATATTTTTTAAAAAGTTTAAAAGATTTTTGAATCAAATTGGGAGTTGGGGGAAAGCAGCTTTCAATTGGAACACTTTACATTAAAAAAAAAAAAAGTCCAGTTTCTGGCTTCCTTGGAAAAATCAGGAGGTCTTGTTGGTGAAAGTAGCACCCAAATACAGGTGACAGTGGCCCTCTGGCCAGTGTGCCCCACTCCCCTCCATTCCCTGTTGCCTCCCGACATCAAGCTCTTAGTAGCTACCCACCAGCTCCCTTGGGCAGAGCTGTGTCTAGCCAGCAGGACCAACCACTTTACCACCCACCCCATGAGGGGTTTCTGCAGGAGAAAGGGAGTATGATTGGTAATCCTGCTGGGACAACCGACAAGCCTGGACATGTGCAGCCCGTGAGTCAGAACGGTGCACAGGTACTTCACTCTGCCCATCAGAGACACTCACACACACAGACTCAGCCAGAACAAGGTCCTTTACTGTCCATGATGACAGCGAGGTGAGGGGCTTCCCCTTGGGGTGACGTCCGGCACTGTGCATGACCTCCACACCTGTCCCTGGCGGTGCTGCGCTCAGATGAGCAAAGTCCCCTGTGCTGTGGCGCCATCACTCAACTAGGAAAAATGAAGGACATAGCCTGCAGCCTGGGGGCTCTTTGTCTCCCGTTTTGGCCTGGCCTTGTCCATTCCACTTGTGATCTTGGTTTTACAACAAAAGGTTGAGTTTTTCCATTACTGCAACCTATAAACATGACAGCACTCAGGCCGGCGGTGGCTCCCTGGTCAGTGTGGTACAGAGCCTTATGCAGCTCTGTGTGTTGGGGGGGCTCGAGCCCATCCCCATAGCCTTCCTCCTGCGCTGGGGCCTGACCGCCATCTGTCCAGGTCTCCCAGCTGTGTGTCGAGGGACACCCAGAGCTTCAGGATCCTGCTGGCTCCTGTCTCTCCTGGTGGGTGGGCCCAGCAGGCTGTCCCCCGTGCTGGAGCAATGCGTTGGGTTGGGTGGGTGACTAGGCCAAGGCCAGGGCACACCAGGCCTCCTGGCGCAAGGGCCCTCCGAGGCCAGCCTGGGAGCCCAGGGCCATGGAGGGGAGGGCGAAGTCCTCGGGCTCAAATTTGAACTCCAAGTGGCTGGAGGCCAGGGAGTCATCCGCCTGGCTGGAGACCTGCAGGGAGGACAGGGGATGCGTGAAAATGGGGGAACGCAGGCCACCTCACATAAGGTCATGGGGTTGGGAGACTTCATCCTAAGGGATTCACTCCTGGAATGGGGAGGGGGCCCCTTGTGAATGTCAACGTGATAACACATGCAGAGCTCTCAGCCCACATCTGCCTCAGGTCGGCTCTCGGCACCGATGACCAACTGTGTGGCCGGCCCTGAGCTCCCGGAAAGGCCTGCAGGGGCTCCGACCTAGCCAGGGAGTCAGGTGCCTGAGGAGGTGCCTGGGAGCTGCTTGCCTTACCTGGGAGGTGACACTGGGCCCAGCGCAAGTAGGGGATGCCAGGCTGGGCTTGGGTTTCAGAGTGGCAGCTGAGCTCTCAGGTTTGGGGACAGAGGATGGCTGGGAGGCTGTGGTATTCCCTGTGCACCCTGGGAGGAAAGGTGGGACTTTTATAGAAGCTGTCACACGGGGTGTATCTTCTTCAGTCCCTCCTGCCTCCCGGCTGGGTGAGCTCAGGCCACCTAGCCTTTCCCCCAACCAGAGCCGTCCCAGAATGGGTGTGGGGATTTATACTTCAGGGGGACAATGCTTCCACCAAACATGTAAATCTCTAATGGTGGAATGTGAGACGCTCAGTGGGACTCCACAGGAAGACCATGAGCCCCACTGGAGGGGCTGGGGGCGATTCTAGTGGCTGGGGGTCCAGGCTCCCTCCCAGCATCCTGGTGGGCCCTGGCCCTGCACCTGAGGAGCCCTTGGTCTTGGTGACATTCTTAGGCTTCCGTTTCCGAGTCTGGATGCTTTCCTTCTTCATTGCCAGGGGCCGGGGCACCTGGCAGAGACATGCAGGGTGGGTGGTGGGTCCCTCTCCCTGCTCACCTCTGGGGCCCCCGGTATGGCCCTCTGCCCTGATCTAAGTCCTGCACAGCCAGTCACTCCTGGGGCCGGCATGTCCTCAGCCCTGCTGGGTGAGCTGCTGCCCCTGTGTTGGGACTTTCTTCCAGGCCAGATGGAGGAGCTCTCCCACCCCAGCCTCCGGAGCTATCGGGGCCAGGGGGGCCACGGGGGTGCAGAGGCACTGCTAGTGTCCAGCTTCTGTCCCCCGGGTGAAAGGCTGTGAGCAAGCCACAGTGACATGATGAGCCTCAGTGAGCCCACCCGCACAATGGGCCTGAAAGCAACTGTGTGGGCCCACCCGTGTAACACGTCAGCCCCAGCCCACCCCTGCCTTGTTCCTCCCTCACCCCCTGGTCCCTCAGTGGCAGGAGGGTTGGTCAAGTGACCCCACTCACCCCATGCAGCTTTGTGTAGAGCCCACAGGCGTTGCACACGGGCTCGCCGTCTGCATTGCGCCGCCACAGCGTGGTGGTGGTCGTGCGGCAGTTGGTGCAGCAGAGGCCGGCGCGGCGGGTGGAGGACTGTGGGTGGGGAGGCCAGTGTGACCTGGTGCTGGGGCCCCAGGGCTCTGGGCTGCCGGACTGGGCACAGCCGGAGGAGGGGGATGGAAATGGACTCAGACTGACTGGCAGCCAGGTCCGGGCCCACGTGGGTTGCGAAGGTGGTGTGAGGCTGTCCTGACTCCATGCCCCGTGAGCCAGGCACAGGTCACTTCAGCTTAGGGCTTCAGTTTCCCCATCGGTGAAATGGGGGTGATACCAGACCCACCACAGGCCTGTTGTGGGGCTAGAATCTCATGAAGACCCTGTATTTCTATGATGGGGGTGGCACCTCTGGAGGTCAGGCCCCAAGCTGGACAGTTGGGGACCTGCCTCCCAGGACCCGGGACTCAGCACGGGCGCAACTCAATAGCTCTCTACTGGACAGTGGGCCGAAGGCACTGGTTCCACTGCACCTCAGATCAGAGCAAGATGGAGCCCATTGGAACCTTCCAGAGGCCTGCCCCCCTTTCACGCCTCTTGGCAGAGCTGACCCCTAATCCTGCAGGTCCACATCCGACGGGAGACCCCAACTCTCCCTGTACTTGGGTGCCTGGCGAGGCCCAGACAACACTAACTCCAGGATCCTGAGAGAGCAGGCTGTTTGAATCTCAGGAGCGGGGACCTAATGGGGACAGAGAGATCTGAAGGGCCCTCCCATCAGCTCAGGATCTCCTGGCTCCCAGAGCCCAGTCTCTCCTCTCTCAGCATGGATTCTGCCTGACTCACATTTTGGTGTTTGGAAGGAGTCTTGTCACCCACATCCTGGGAGCTGCAGATGCCCTGTGCCAGGCCCAGGGTTCCCCAAGGTATCTCAGACCCAAAGCCCTTCCCTGCATCTCAGAAACATCGCCTGCTGGTGGCACCACCCCTCCCCAGCTACCTGTCCCCAGACTTTGTCCTTAGGGTGCTGCTCTCTCCTCATCTCAACCCCTGCCTTCGGAAACCTCTGAACTAGTCCTGTCCTTTCCTTCGTTTGCACTGCCTCTGCCTGGTCCAGGTCCCCGGGCCCCTCGCCTGGACCACAGTGACGCAGGGTGCCGAACCTGTCCTCCCCAAGTCAGCCAGGGTGAGCCTAGGCCACATCAGTTACAGAAGCCCATGAGGCCCCCACACTCAAAATTATCCCAAGGAGGTATGTCCCCTCCTTGGTGTTGTCCAGCCCAGGACCCAGGCCAAGGGCAATTAAGAGGCTGCCAAACCAAGCCACGAAGGGAACCAGACCTGGGTTAGAGGTCAGCAGACAGGGGCCAGCCTCAGTTTCCCCATCTGTCAGCAGTCTCGAGGTTCCTTCCTTTTGCAATGACTGAGGGTAGCCAGCCTGCTGACCACCCACTTCTCCGAAGCTGTGGTCAGAAGTCAAGGGCACAGGCCTGCCCCCTGTGAGTGGCCTGGGACGGGGAGTTGGGACCTGTCTGAAGCCTCCGCACCAGGCACCAGCCGTTCCCAAGAAGACTCAGGCCCTGAAAGTGACTCTCCACAGGAAGTCTGTGGCCACAGCCTGACCGTGCCTAGACAGCAGTTGGTTTACTGGACACGAGGGTCTCGCCCTGCCCTGCCCCTCCCTTCTATCTGCCCTTCAGTGCTGGGAGCTGTGCCCACAGAGGGTGCCCCGAGTGCAGAATCCGTACACGTGGAAAACAGGCCCCTCTATCCCAAAGGTACAAGGGGACACCTGGAAGCCGCATCTGAATCTTATATAGTGAGCACAAATCCAAGTTAAGAAACTGGAGATTAAATTAAAATTAAGAAAATGGGGGAAAACAATCCAAAGTGGTTGCTCATTGATCTTGCCCTCTCCCCTCACCAGACTCGTTTCACAAAGGGGAAACTGAGGCTCAGAGGCTTTGAGGGGCTGCCTCCTTGGGCAGGACATGCTGCGGGGACACGTCCCAGGCCTCCATGTGCCTGCCTCACAGCGGGCCCAGCCGCTAGGTGGCCACTTTCAGGTACCTCTCCGCCAGGCCTCTTCAATGCAGCTGATTTTCTGTTTTGGTTTGAAAATGAAGTGAAACTTCAAAGGCTATGGCTGCAGCAGAGCCATTTGAGCTCTGGGACATCCAAGTAAACCAGGGAGGGGGCAGCACAGAGGAGAGGCACCCATGGTGGTGACAGAGCAGGGACAGGGAAGGGCTCCGAGGGGGGGACACTGGGAAGGAGGGAAGCCTGTAGGTCACAAGTGCCACAGCCATGAAAAATGGCTTCGATTTCAAACAGGTCCCCAGACATCTTGGAAGGAGAGAAATACGTGGGCACATTTAACATGATAAAGCGAGTGTCTGTTGTTCAGGGCAAACTTCTGGGGACGAGAGTCTATGAGGCAGGGCTGTGCTGGAAGGAACACCCGTCTGGTGAGCAGTCAGAGCCCCAGTCAGGGTTTGATTTCCTCAGCGAAGGATGCTGGGCGCCCACTGGCCACTTCCCAGAGCTGGCCACCTATGGCCAATGAGCCTACAGTCCCTGACCTTGGCTGCCGGCTCCAATGTTGGGGGGGGGGGTTGGGGCTGCAGAGCACCTGGCCCTAGAAGCAGGCAGATGGGGAGGCCCACGGGGATGGGGTGGCCCACAGGGATGGGGAACCACCACAACCATCCGCCCTGTGTGTCTGCACTGACGAAGACCTCAGGTCAAAGGTGTACCCCCAGCCTGCAAATGACTAAGGAGGCACATGGGAAGCAAAGGGCAACACAGATATGAGCCTGCAGGGAGGGGGACCTGCTTGTTATTGTCACATTCCTGTATTCTCGGTGACAACATTCTAGGGCGTTTATAATAATTTAAAAGAAGGTTAGGACAAGTTCTTCCTGAGGAGGCCCTTCCAGGTCTGGCCACACACAGGAACAGTGAGGCATTGGAGTAGGAACAAGTCTGAGACCACCAGCCCAGCCCCACCATGGCCAGAGCCATGTGGCCCAAGCTCTGGTCTCAGGACCCTCTATGAGTCTTGGGGCTTCCACGCCAGCCTGGTCCTGCCAGGGCTGGCTGCAGGGCAAGCATTGGGGCCGCCCTCCCTGAATGCCAGGTAGGAACCCCAAAGCAAGTCAGAGTGAACCCCTAAGATTCTGCTTGGGGAGAGACAGGGAAGTCCCCTGCCCTACTCAGTAAACACTTACTGGGCGTGTTCCATGCTCAGGTCTGCGTGGGCCTGGACACAGGTGACCAGACTGTCCACCCTCTGTAGCCTGTAGCCTTGGGGAGATGAGTCATGCAAGGTCCTCTATCTTATTAAGCATCTTAAATACTCTGTGTCCCCCAGCCCAGCAAACAGAGGCCAAGTGCCCATACTCAGCCTGCCCACAGAGCCGGCCAAAGCCAAACTGCCTTGCCAAGCTGTTTGACTTAACCTTTATCACAGCATGAGGACAGTTCCCGAATTCATCTTCCAGGGGCTTGGGCCAGGAGACCAAGGACAGGGCAGGGGGCTCAGCACGAGGTGGGACACATGGGACCCTGAGGTGGGCGGTCCTGGTCTGTGTCCAGGGCTTGCCGAGAGCAGGCTGTGTGCCCAGGGACGCTGCTCAGTGTCTCTGAGTTCCGAGCTTACCCTCTGGCTGTCATGAGGATGAACGTCTCAATGCTTCAAGAGCAGCCTTGTCTGCATACCCAAGTCAGGGATTTTCTGCTGGGAGGTAAGCCCACAAAGGGTGGGGACACCTTCTTGTCCCGATGACCAGTGTGTCTTTGGCACCCAGTTCGGCACCCAGTTTGGCACAGGGAGAATGAACAGAGCCGGAGGAGGGGTTGGCCTGCTCCTTGGGGTCAGGGGGTCTGGGTTGCAGCCCCCAGGACCCTTCTCCTCTTAGCCTTAGTTTCCCCATCAGTGAGCGAATATACCAGATACTGGCTGGTATGGCACACCAGGGGGTGGGGGTCATGAACGCAGGGGCAGAGACAACAGTGTGGGGTGATGTGGACTCTAAGGGACGCCCTCTCTTTGAGAGGCACAGTGTGGGTGGAGGAAAGTTGGGGGACCCACAGATCCCCAACTCCAGGCCAGAACAGAGGGAGAAAACAGCAGCTGCCTTGGACCTGCCTGACCTGGTGAGCCCTGCTTCCCACCTGCCCAGTCTGGGGCTCAGAGGGTGGCCCAGTGCTCCCATAGTGGGGGCTTCAGTTTCCAATAAAGGCCTGCAGCTAAGCCTCCCCTCCCCCGCCAGCCCAGAATGACAATGGTGCAGGCTGGCTGGGCCACCCTACAGTGTCAGCCAGGGACCGGCTCCCCTCCACCCCCATCAGGGCCTGCCACCACAACCGACCAGAACCAGCCAGATGACTGATGCTGACAGGACTCATACCAGCCTTAGACCAGAAGGCTGGGCACCCCCAGCACTGTACCCCCCGCCCAGACCTTGGCAGGAGCCGCTGTGGCCTTGCTACCTTAGCCAGCTCTAAAACCAAACAGGCCCTTCTACTTGCTTAAAAATTACGTGAACATCCAATGCATAGAGCAAAGTAACTATACCTTCAAACAGCTTCTGGGTTCTCTGCCCCACCTGGGGCAAAAGTCAGGTTCCCAGTCTCCAACTCCCACCCAGACGCCCAACAGAAGGAACCAAAAGTGGAAACAAGTTTTGCCCGGGGAACAAACAGCCAACAGCCGCAGGCCTGGTCTGGTCCCATCCCTGCAGGGTCGGGTAGAAAGTGCTCCCCAACGGGGCAGCGGGGCAGCGGGGCAGCGGGGCAGCGGGGCAGCGGACCCAACGCTCCTCCTGTGTCCTCTAACACAGCACCCACCCAGCAACCACCTTCCCCTCCAGCCCCAGCTCCAGCCCCAGCCCCAGCCCCTGCCAGATCCCCTGCGCACCCACCAACTAGCCAGGCAAGAAACTTGTCACCCAGTCGCCTTCAAAGCCACAGGACTGAGCCCGCGGCAGGCAGTCCCTGACCAGACTGGGAGCCCAGCAGATCTCAAGCTCAGGGAGACGGCCTTCTGTACTTCCCTGCCATGCAGGACGTGGGCGCTGCCGGGCTGGGTCCCAGGACCGCAGCCTCACTCACACTCACCAGGCGCTTCTGGGGCCGCACGAGCGGCCGGTTGACTCCGTTCATCTTGTGGTAGAGGCCGCAGGCGTTGCACAGGTAGTGGCCGGTGCCATCTCGGCGCCACAGTGGCGTGGACAGGGCCCCACAGTTGACGCACTCTCGCCCCTCGCCAGGGAACTCCTCCGAGAAGTCAGGCACTGCGGGCACAGGCAGCTCCTGGGACAGGCTCTGTCCCTCGAGCCTGGGCGTCTGCAGCACGTTTTCCTTTTTGTTTGTTTTTTTGGGGGCCTTAAAATTACCTTATTGCAAAATATATTTTATCTAATTTTAAATTTACATTCACTAAAGTTTGTGAAAACTTTAATTTAAAACACTCCTTAGGGTTGGTTTTTATAAGGTGGGGGAGGTTTCATAAATTAAACCTCCAGCAGGAAAACAGGGACTGCCCCCCACGCCCTCACTAGGGTCTGTCATCTGGGCCCCTGGGGAGGCAGCAGCGTCTACACTGGAGAGGGAGGAGGTGGAAGGGCCTTGTGGTCTGCGAGCAGAGAGAATCCCAAGGGGCCAGACCTCCGGATCCACAAGGACCAGGGACCGGTCAGCTTTGCTGTGGTCGCAACCATGGGAGGCAGCTCAGCTCGGCCTCCATGGGGCACTGGGCACTGAGCGGTGCATACAGGGCCCTGGGGCCCTCCAGGGGGGCCAGGCACTGGCAACAAGAGGTCGAGAGGTTGAGAGGGCAGTCAGGCCAGGTAGGAGCGGGGTGGGGATCCATCGTCCCTGCCAGGGTGGGCAAGGAGGAAAAGCAACCCGCTCCTGAAGAGGAGCCAGTGGGGCCAGAAGGCTGGTCTAGGCTGAGGCTGTGCAGCCTCAACCGCTGGAGGGACGGCCCTAGGGGGTCCTGGAGGGCAGCAGGCAGAGGCCTGGGTTTTGTTTGGGCCAGGGGGTGAGAAAGTGTCAGTGGCCCTGACTCTGCAGGAACAGGGTGGAGCGTTCTCGGCTTTATGGGCCTGGAATCCGATGATCCCAACTCAAAGCCTGGGAGGCACCGGAATCGGGTCTCAGATTAGACCATGTAAACATTCTTGAGCCCTCAAAGCGGCAGCCCACTTAAATAAGCCGGAGTTTTGAACTTTATAAAATCACTTCCAAAACTTTTCATAAAGACGGGTAACATGTAGGCTCAAAATTGGCACCATCCAGAATGTTGGGTTTGGGTGAAGGAGAGAGAAACAGGTACTTTCTTCTAACGCGTAAGAATTCGGGACACAGGGCTCTCATCTCGGGGTGGGTGAGGCTGTGGTGGAGGCCGCATGTCCCGGGTGCTGGCCTGCCCCCTGGGGTGCCACCTGGCCAGGAAAGCTCTGCACTTCGTGGGGGCGGGCTGCACGCCCTCCTGGCCAGGACCCAGCGGGCTGCCCCCGCCCTGCACTCACCCAAGGTGGCTCTGCGGCCAGGGAGGCCGGCCTGGCGGCCCTGCAGGCTGTGCAGAACGCCGCCCTCGAAGGGTGCGGAGGCCCAGGACGGGGCCGCCTCGCTGCTCACGTAGG